TGCCAACATTAAGACAGAAAAAAAACAAACAAACAGTCAGTTCAGGTGTTTTATAAAATATTTTAAATCAGGAAATTGTCTATTTAGCAAACTGAATGATTGTTGTTCTCTACTTTAAAAAAAACAAAACACTTTAGATTTTAAAATGGAAAAATCTTCTATTTTTTAAAATCTTTTTTTATTTAAAAATTCAGTGTATAACATGGATGCGTAAAAACCTTGTTTTATTTCAGTGTTAAATTTGGTTTAAAGTAACAGATTATAATAAAAAATGTCTCCAGACCTTTACTGGTTGATGGTTTTCTTATTCGGCCCCTGCTGATTTTTAATTGGTTACCCCTGGACTAACTGATTCCTGACCATGCTGTAATGCAGTGATTCCCAACCGGGATACGAGTACCCCTAGTGGTCTGTGAGTGCATTGCAAGGGGAACATGAAAATATTTTATTTCTTAGGTAGTAAAATAAAATAGGGCTGGGATCCGTTTTACTTTGTGAGGACCAAAAAAATAAATAAAATAAAACAAGCTTTTATTTCCAACCAAAGACTAAGTTTTTCTTCTTCACCTTCAGCTTTGACAAACATCAAAACCAAGCAGACTGGATGTAGACTGGACGGTATCAGCTGTTTTTCCACATATAAACTCATCAAAGCAGCGCAGGTGTCATGAATGTTGAAATCCAAGTAAAAACAGTCTGAATAATCTATTTTTTGTTTAGTATTTTTTCCCAATTCATTAAGCTTATATGTGATTACAAGGGAATTACTCAGAAGAGCTCCAGTTTTATAGAGGCAGATTTATGATGTGACTTTGTTTTGTATTTATTTTTGATTCCTTACTAGCTTTTGGGTAACATATTTATTTATTTTTATTTAAGATGGAAAGAATAAAATGGCCAAGAATGACATGCTCATTTTATAATTATCTATTATTGTAGGTTCCACTTTTGTCCAGTAATAAATCATTTTAAACTAAGGGGGGGGGGGTACATATGGTAAAACAAAATGCCCAAAGGAGTACATAATTCAAAAAAGGTTGGGAAACACTGATGTAAGGCGTCGTACAAATCCAACAGTTCTGTGAATAGGGCTTAAAATCATTGCTAAAACCTTTAGCACTATTAGCAGTTACATGGAGTCATGTGTTAACTTTAGAGCGTCTTCCTGAGCTTCAGCTCTCGCTTTAGTGAACTCCAACAGTTAAACTGTTTTCTTTGAGCATCTCAGGTTTTATTCCTCTTAGAATCAAACATATTTTTTTTCTTCTTTCTTTGCAAATATGCTGGGAGTTTTGCAGTCCCTCGCCTCCATTGATTTGGCTTGCTGATCAACAGTGATGTAACTCTAGTCACATGACATTATGGCAAATATACTGAAGGATTTATTCACTAACAAACCAAGAAAAAACTAAATATACTAGACAAAAATAACAAATACTATGCCAGAAGGAGGCTGTAATTTGTCATAAAAATGTAATATTTAACTAGAACAAGTAAAGAAAAATAAAATAAAATAAAGTGACAATGTTCCTTTAATGAAATTTGCCTTAGCTACTGTAAATATTCATCTTATTGTTGATAATTTTATCCCTTTAATTGGTCTTTTTTTTGGCTTTAATCCTAAGTCTTGTTCATTTTATTGTTTTTCTCTCCTACTATGCCACTGCGATTTACAGTTCTGTTTATTTCCCTTTTAGGTTTCTTTATTCAACTAAAGAACTTTGAATTATCTTGTGACTGAAAAACACTGTAAGTAAACCGGGAAACACATGTTTCTAATATTGCGTCCATATTTTTCTCCCAGAAAGGAAGACGACGGATTTCACTCTAAAACATAAAACAAACCTTAAAAAAAACAGCTTTTTTAATGGAAGTAAAATAATCTGCCCCTGTGCTAATATCAGGGAAGCAAACTGATGGGAATTTGCTTAAAGTTTTAAAAAGATGATGGAAGAAATAAAGCAGAATTAAGCAGAATTGATCCATTTAAATCATTGAATTGAATTTAAATTGACTAAATAATGCAGTTTTAAAGGAAAAGTCCAGTCATTTTCAGAATTCAAACTTCTGATAGTACTTTAAAAATGAAATTATTACACACAGTTTAATAAATGATAATTGTTCTTAATTAAGAGTAATTTTCATTTGAAGGTGCTTCACTGGAGGCATCCATGTTTGTCAAAGAACACTACTGCCACCTACTGGTTTGTGACGTCACGGTGCGGTATTGGCTGTTGATCAAGTCCCAGTGCTGTATCTGGTGTTTGTCACAATGCACTATTATCCAAGTCATCTTGAAAATATTCTTCTTCCAAATGTTGGCTACATATTACGTGCTTTTTTTTCTGGCCAGAAGTT